AGCACCCAGAGATTTTTTTGCCTGACCTTCAGTATGCGATGGGCATCATTTTGTTCATACCTTATGCATTTGTAGAAATTCCGCGGCTTAACTAAGTGCACATATGGATCAGATAGCCAGAACAATGGCCACCCTACCACTGAATAGCCTTTTGTACAAAACTAATTGCTGGGAAAATGAAAATGCATAGGACCGAAAGCCGCCCCTTTTTCCAACCAGGTTTTTAATTTAATCTTTCAACTTTTTTCTTCTACGATTACTCGTACGAAAAGAAGATTATGATGATAGACGACTGCACAGGCGACATTGATCGTCAGCGTTTGCAATACCAATGGCTGCAGGTTGGCATCAGCAAAACAAAATTTATAACGGCGCTCCTCACAGCCGACACGGGGGTCACTGAAGAAAGGTCGAACCATGAAAAAGAGAATCACGTAACTTCTAATAGTTGTAGCAGTGATTAATGGCGTTATCTCAGTGTGAACCGATGCACTGAGATTGATATCAGCGTATTTCGGGAAGACGAGAATTTTTGAGAGATCGGACTGCAAATACAACAGAAACGAAATGGCCATATTCTTGAAAGCAGCCACACTCACTACAAAACGACTGACCTGAGGCTTCACGAAGCTCACCTGAACAACTGTCTGTCGCTATTCTTAGTAAAGAACACATTGTTTAACCATGCATTGGATTTTAACAACTCGCATATGAAATTGGTTAGTTTTATGTTCATTGATTATTGTTGATAATTCTGTAATTTTAGCATTGGCTTGATCCTGCCAAAAAGATACGAAAGCAAGTGCCAAGTGAGTGGAATCGTTTTGATAATCCTTTTTATGTAGTTTTAAAGCGTTGTCATCTGACGAATTAGATTTGCTTGACATAGTGAAATGTGAGATTCGAATTTGCATCGATTATTCAGAATTTAGTTTCAGTTTCAACCTGCTCAGATTGTCATTGAGTAAACTGTAATATGTTGTTTTTATTCTTCGCTTTTCAGAACCAGTAAAGAAATTGCGTCGCAGAATCAAGTTTGTCGTATATTTCAAGTCAGTCGTCATGACCTGGAATAGACAGAATATTTTTCCATGTTGAGTAGTACAGGAAGCAAGGTTCTTCGTATGACAATAGAGTAGTACAGGAATGCGATGCAGCTGTGAAGACTGGCATTTCCTTTATACTTGAGAAGTAATCGGTTATGAGGTGCAAGAGATTTGCAAGCACGACAAGGAAACGGAACGATGAAAGAAGTTGACCATCCTACGTAACTCAGTCATCTAGCCTAAGACAAGTACTTATCCTTTCCACAGAAATCCGTCATTTTCTTTCCTCTGTCACGGCTAGGATCTTCCCTTTCTGTACGACGCAGCTTTCCACAGTAAAAGCAGAGAATAGGAAATCTTGTAGTGCTGTTAGCCAAACC